GTGATCTGTGACTTGGCAGCACTTTCCACCACCCCATGGACCCAAAGTAAAACTTACCTGTGATGATTATACCAAGATTGTGGAGATGTAGGAGTTCTGTGTTCGAGGTTGCATCAACATGTGCACTTGAAGAAGGTGGCGGGATGGGGCATGCCACCCTTCAGTGCTAACCCAGAAAACAGAACTCCCAGTTGTGGGGAAAGACAACCCTAGATGCTCAGAGGTACTCTGGTAATGAAAGGGGTTATATTATATATTATTGGCACAGGTTTGGGGTGGAGCACAGAGCATACAGTAAGGCCAGCGTGCTGTAGTGGTTACAAGTATCGGACCAAAAAGTGCCAAAAAAAAAAAAGTGTCGGACTACAATCTGGGAAATCGAGGTTCAAATCACCACTGGTGCCATGGAAGTTTGCTGGGTAATCTTGGGCGGGTTACACTCTCTCAGCCTAACCTACCTCACAGGGTCGTTGCGAGGGTACAGTGGAGGACAGGAGAATGATGTAAACTGCTGTGGGGTCCCCATTGGGGTGAAAGGTGGGATGCAAATAAAGTAAAAAATAAATGAAATAATTCTGTGACTTTTAGAAATATAGATCTGAAAGGGACTCCAGCGGTCATCTAGTCCATCCCCCTGCATGGTGATGGAAAGTCATAGCTACCCCCCCTCCCCCAGTGACCCCTGCTCAATGCCCAGAGGAAGGCAAAAAACCTCCAGGATCCCTGGGCCAACCTGGCCTGGAAGACGATTCCTTCCTGACCCTAACCACAAGGCATTGGCATTACCCTGGGCACATTGACATTACCCTGGACACATTGGCATTACCCTGAGCACGTAAGAAAGGGTCACAAAAGCCAAGCTCTGGCTCATCTCTTCCTGCCCTCCCTCCTCTTACAATCATAGTGAGGCATGAGTGAATTTTGATTGATTGGAATCGCTGATGTGGCTCTCCATAATCTGCAGAGTGAGTACAACAGCCTAAAATGTCTCCGCTGAAGGGTGGGACAAAATGCCACGTGGCACAGAAAGCTGCCAAGGGGAGGAGGAGAGGGGCAAAAATTGTACTCTCCTACCCTGACTCCTGAGCGAGTGGAGCAAGCCCCAGGGACAGGTCATCCTCGGATGATGCCAACCCATCCTCCCACACTGATCCAGGGCTGTTCACAACACAGAGCAAGCCCTGGAATACCAACGTCTTTGTTCAGTGGCATGCCCATCTATAATGATTTAACGTTATAAGTGTGTGTTTCTTTAAATGCTTGGTAAGTTGCAGAAGAATGGTTGGTGGTGATGGCGAAAGAGGGAAATGACTGAGATGATTGGTTGGTGACTGAGAGTGTATGGGGCAGAGCTAAGAAGAGTGTGGAGAGAGAGAGAAGGCAGACGGCTGTCAGCAGTCAGCTGTGGTCACTCAGCAGTCTACAGAGTCTGAAGAAGCAGCCGTCTGATTAGAATCCCATATTAGTGCTGTGAAAAGCATTTAAGATTCTAAAAAAGAAAGCAGAATACTTATAGAGGACATATAAGAGACTAGAGAAAGCCAAATCCTAATATTGTCAGAGTTATTATGAGAGTGTGAGAGGAAGAAGCTGACAGAAACCTGAGTTAAAAAGGGAGAGATTAACTGAGCACAATAAAATAAAGACTGCACAAAGTACATTCTGAAGAGAAAAAGGGATTTGAGAGAGAGGAGTGATTGGGAAGTGAAAGATTGTGACACCTCAGTCAGAAGTTATTAACATACGCTGTTGTATTCACTGAAGAGATAAGTTTCAAAGTATCTTGATAACAATATGCTTCTTGTACAAATAAAGTTTTATTTTCATAGAATCATAGAGTTGGAAGGGACCTCCAGGGTCATCTAGTCCAACCCCCTGCACTATGCAGGAAATTCACAAATACCTCCCCCTCCACACATCCTCAGTGACCCCTGTTCCACGCCCAGAAGAAGACAAAAAACCTCCAGAATCCCTGGCCAAACTGGCCTAGAGAACAATTGCTTCCTGACCCCAAAGTGGCGATCGGCATTTCCCTGGGTGTGTAAGAAAGGGCCACAGGAACTAAGCACTGAGGCAACCCTTCCTGCCCTCCCTCTCATGATCTGCCTAAATTCACAGAATTTGCATTGCTGCCAGATGGCCACCTAGCCTCTGTTTGGAAACCTCCAAAGAAGGAGAGCCCACCACCTCCCGAGGAAGCCTGT